CCTGAGCAGAGGAGCCCCCACCCAGGCTGGGCAAGGAAAGAACTCAGCTGAAAGGGGCTGGACTCATTTTCACCTCTCTTCACCCACCGCTGCCGCTCCTGGATTCCCAACAAGTCTCACACCAGCTGCCCTCACGGAGGGCTTGGGCACTTCACACCCGCCGTGAGGCAGAATCGACCAGAAGACTTAAAGGCAGGCCCAGGTTCCTACCAGCTGGGGACTTAGGCAAGTCCTTATCTCTTGGAGCCTCATCCTCCCTACCCACATTGAAGGAATATGCAATACTGCCTTATGTTTAGGGTTGCTAAGGATGAGGCGCACTTAGCAAAGTGACAGGTGCATAGTAATAAATGGCAGCAGAAAGCAGAAGTCTTTTAGCCTCCTCTCCCCACCCCAGCCTCTCTCCTTTCTGAGAGATTAGATTATTTTACCCCCATGCCTCGCCTGTCCTTCAGCAGCCAGATTTCAGGGCTTCAGAAATGCTGCCTGTTGCCCAGGAAACTGCCCCACTCCGGGCTCCCTGGGGTCCCACAGGTCCGTGGGTCCTGGCGCCATCTGCTGGATGCAGTGCCACACTGCTTCTGAAGCGCCCAAATCCAGGAGTCCCACAAGCCTGGAGCAGGGAACGCCCCTTTGCCCCTGCCCCACTTCTTCCCCCGACATCGCCACATAAAAGCTCTTTGCTCCTTTTGCCCGCAGATTTCCCTGGAGGCCAGAGGCATGGAAAGGAGTTGGAAGCACTGTGCTCCACGGGGAGGGGTGGAAGCGGTGTCCTTCTCCACGCAGAAGGCAAGAAGACAGAGGAGCGGGATTCCTGGTGGTGTGGGGTGCGGAGGAAGTCCCTCCCCTTAATTGATTTCCCGAAGCTCGGGATCCGCAGTGCAGGCACACATTTTTTTCCCACTAGCCCACTTTCTACGGGGAGGAAGTAATGGGAATGAAGAGGTTAAAGTTGGGGGTGGGACAGTGACGTGTGGGGTCACAGCTAGGTCCTTACGCAACATCCCCCCCTGGCTCCCCCTCCTTCCTAGCCAGCTGAGCCACTCAGCTCCTGGTACCTCTAATCCTTTTCTTCCCTTTTCTTCTCTGGGAAGGACCTCCCTACCCACCATGACATTTGTCAGATGAACCCCTTGGAGCAGAAGCAGGAGAAGCAGTAAGATGCCTGCTATGGGAAACCAGGACTCCTGAGTCCGATTCTTGCTTCAGGCAGCCCCTGCCCTTAGCCACACTGAGATCAGCCTGCCCTGAAAGGTGAAGGGTGAAGTGGAATATCTGAAGTGTGGGGTCAAGAGAAAGAAGCTATTGGGGTGCCTGGGGGTGGGGATGCTCCTCTTTGCCTGGTTAGGATCACAAGTAGAGAAATTGAGGCACAGCATGAGGGAAAGGCTGCTCTCTACCTGTCCCAAGCTAATACCATACCTTGCTACCCAGGTGCCCCTCCCCCACTGTAGCTGGGCCAGGGCATAGCCGATGGGAGCCAGACGCCCTGGCTCTCAGCCTGGAAGCTGATGTCACCAATGGGCTTAAGCGGAGGCAGAGAAGGAGGCTGGGGACTGGGGTCTCCTGGGTCCCTGACGCCTCCCATCTTCCCTCCTGAGCCAAGCCCGGAAGGAAGGTCACAGAGGAGGAGGCTGGTGACAGTGACTCCTGCAACCTGCAGGTGAGGGGCCCTGCTCTGAGGACAACAGGTATGAGGAGTGGGGTTGTGGGGCTGGGGCCTGGGAGATGTTAAGGGGCTGGGCTCTTTGACCCGGCCATAACCCTCTGACCAGATTCCCTGTCTCCAAACTCCTCAGCGGGAGGCAGAAGGGCTTCAGGGGTTGTGATGAGGTGGGCAGAATCACTCCCCAACCCCCTACTAAGCCAAGTCTATGTGTAATGCTGGGGAGGGGCTCAGAGAGGCTGGGGGTGGAATTTGGCCCTTGCAAGCCGGAAGGGATCCCCAAAGAATAAAAAGCTCAGTATAAGGGCAAAGGGAGGCACTGTCTACACACACTCCCCCACCCCCCCCACACACACCCACCGCCCCAATGGCTGGGTCCCCTCTTCCTCTCCAGACTCCACTCTAGACATGAGGAGAGGGGTGGAGGGAGGGATTAAAGGTAGCTGAGTCGCACGCAGCTGGGGGGCTGACTCCTCCTCCCATCTTCCTGACAGGCATGATACACAGAAGCTGAAAGAGGCCTCAGAGGGCTAGTCTGGCCCCTCCTAAACTCTGGGATCATGCCATCTGAGAGCCCCCGTCTCAGCCCTTGGAGGTGGGGGGGAAGGTGGGACCAAAGGCAAAGGCCACCCGCTGCTTCTCTTCCATCTGTCCCCTAGGGTGCACCAGAGATGGCCCTGCTACCTGCTGATGTGATGGTAACTCGACTCTCCCACTCCATCCACCTGTACAGCAAGCCTGGCCTCCCAGGGTCCCTCAGGCCCCGCCCACTGCTCCTGTTCCTGCCCTGGCTGGGGGCAAGGCTGGCTGCCCAGGCCAAGTACCTACAGATCTACCTGGCCTGTGGCCTTGACGTGCTGGTCGTGGAGAGTGCACTGAGTCACTTCCTGTGCCCCCACCAGGGCCTGGTGCGAGCTGCCCAGGTCCTGGCGTTGCTGCGGGGACCAGGGACACTAGCTGATCGCCCGCTGTTGGTGCACGCTCTCTCCCTGGGTGGCTACACCTTTGCACAGATGCTGCTGCTCATGAGCAGGGACTTGGGGCACCACAGCAGCGTGACTCGGCGCCTGCGGGGCCACATCTTCGACAGCCTGGTGGTGGGCAGCCTGGACCGCATGGTGTTGGGTGAGTGAGGTGCCTGGGACACAAACACCTGCCTGAACAGCAGGTGGACACGCAGTCCTGCTGACCACAGCATCTCTGATCTGTGTCTGTCCCAAATATGGCTCTGGGCTGCCTCTGAATATCTACCTGATGCGGCCTTCCAACCCAGAGCATCTGTCCCTTTGTCCCACCTGGACCTCCCCCACCGTGGCTGAAGTTGCAACCCAGAGTGAGCATGTTGTCAGGATCCAGACTTACCATTTATTCCCAGCCCCTATTCATCTGGGCAAGGAGAGGCCAAATAGGACAGAAATAAGGCTAATTTACTGAGTACCCACAACCTCCCATGTTCTCTTGTGATCCTTACAATGAGGCCATGAGACATGTATGTGTCGTCTGAAATTCTTAGGACACATGCTTTGGAAAGAGTCTCTTTGAAATCATGTAAGTGGATGCTCAGATTTCCGCTAAAGCAGTGATTCTCAAACTTTAGCATGTATCAGAATGTGGGGCCTAAGTAACAATTTGGAGACCCAAAGCCCATCCTGCTCTAGCAAGCCTGGGCCTCTGTGTTCATTACTAGCTCTCCAGATGATTCTGATACATGCTGGGATTTGAGGACCACTGCGCTAACACGTCCTCTGGAAGGGCCCAACTCATGCTAACACACCGCAACTAATGGGGAGGTCAGCTCCATTGACCAATTAGGTCTGGTTCAAAAGGAAAATTCTCCCTTTGAATCAACCACTCACTCTTGACTCAGTGACTTGGCATTTATCTAAAACCCCTCAGATCTCTTCCCTCTCAATTGCTGGTCAAGCTGCTTCCTGCACAGTTTTGTAAACCAATGTGCGAGTCACACCGTGAAACAGGGACTCACTTGCTCCATCCTCCCTTCCCTTCTACCACCGCTGGAATCCGGGCATCTTCCCTCCTCCCCGCTGGGTCACTGGAGTCCTAGGTGCTCACCTAGGCCACAGACTTCAGGGCACAAGGCCTCCAGGGACTTTCAATGACCCATTTACTTTGCAACAACCCTTGGAGCAGCGGTCGAACCAGCTCTGAGCCCACCCAACAGTCCTGCCTTCCAGCTCTTTCCTTCTCGTCCCTGAGATGCCATAAAGCTGGAAAATGCTGCAGTGAAAGGCTGGCCTCAGACACACTGTCCTCAGATACGAGGTCCCTGAGCAAGTGGATATCTCTGTCAGAAGGGGACTGGCTGGTTACCTCAGTTGGTTAGAGCGCAGCCTTGGAACACCAAGGTCAATGGTTCAGATCCCCTTACCAGCTAGCCACACACACACAAAAAAAGCAGGGGTGGTGGATATTCACCCTCTGTCTTTCCTGCCACCAGAGCATTCCTAAGCCATCTTCCTTGCATCTGCCCATTGCAGCCTTGGAACACCAAGGTCAATGGTTCAGATCCCCTTACCAGCTAGCCACACACACACACAAAAAAAGCAGGGGTGGTGGATCTTCACCCTCTGTCTTTCCTGCCACCAGAGCATTCCTAAGCCATCTTCCTTGCATCTGCCCATTTGAGTGGTGTCTATACCTCAGTGAGACAGCTTTGTGCCCACTATCAAACCACAGCAGAGGCAGAGAAAGGCAATGTCAATGTCCCAAGTTCCCTCAACTCTAGTGGATATTCAGCAGCCCACGTGGCAGTGCTGTTCCCACCAGCAGGGGGTCTGAGGCCGGGAGGCAGGTTCTGAGGCCAGGAGGCAGGTCCTGAGCCACATACGAATGGTAGGAGCTGACATGCTCTGCCTTGTACCCACAGGTGTGTCCCAGCTGATGAGGCCACAGGTCCTGGGCCCGGTGGTCAGGGCCATGACTATGCTGTACTTCCACCTGTGCCCGGGCTCCACTGTTGGGCAGTATGAGGCTGCAGTGAATGTTTTCTGGCAGCCACCTGTGAGGACCCCGACGCTGGTCTTCTACAGTCACGATGATCCTCTCTGCGATACTGCCCTGCTTCAGGAGCTGCTGGCCAGCTGGCAGCAGGCGGGTATGCTGGTGTGGGCACAGGCCTGGGAGACCTCCTGCCATGCGGCCCACCTGCACCAGCACCCCCTGGAATATCGTGACACCCTCACCACCTTCCTGGAGAGGCTGGGCCTGGCGTCCCCCTTGGCCCGGCTCTGATGGGGCTCCAGGCTCCAGCTCAACACCAGGATGGGGGCCAGCCTCCCAGTGGACAAGGGACAGGAACAGAGATAGGACGTCGGAGGTGTTGAGACCTGCTTGATTTATTCAGATTAGTTAACATACAATGAAGCAACTGACCCAAAGTGTGCAAAGTTAAAGCCTTCAACTGCAGCTGAGAGGAGAGGGCAGGAGCAGTACACCTGGGGCTGCTGATGAGTCAAGAAGGATGGGCAGGTGGCCATGATCAGGGCGACCTCTTCCCCAGGGCCAGGAATGGGGGAGTGGCCTGAGGAGCAGGGCCCAAGGGCAGCCTAGGGCGAGTGGAAGGGGGCAGAGACCTCCCCCCGGCCTAGGTCAGAGGTCCAGAAGTGCCAAATGGCTGAGGGGGCAGCAGCCCGGAAAGGGGCCAGAGGCAGAGCCAGGAGAGCACCATTTCCTGGGGTGGGGGGGAGGGAGGGAGGGAGGTGCCCTACAGGAGAAGCCAGGAGGGGCCACCTGCCCCAGGGGTGGGAGCCAGGCCGGAGCAGGCTGCAGCGAGAAAGACCTGAGGCAGGCGCAGGGCCTGAGAGCCTGTGCTGGCTGGGCTCAGGGGGCTGAAGGAGGGAGGATAGGGGGAGCTCCCAGGCAGCCTGGCCTAGGGAGCAGTCCTGACTCTGCAGGGGATGCCCAGGAAAGAGGCCACAGACCTCTCAGGACCTCCCCTCTTCTCTCCCTGGGAAGGAGCTGGGGAACCCATAGTGCAAATCTGTGACCGCTCAGCTATGGAGGGTGGCTGTGCCCAAAGGGGGACCCTGGGATGCTCCCCCTCCACCACCTCGGCCTCCACCGCTATCCTCAGTACAGCCGCTTCTCGTAACTGTGGGGACAAGCAAGAGGGAGAACTAGAGTGGGCGTGTGCACCATGCTGCCTTCCCCAAATCCCCATGCCCAGGGTCCCCAGATACGGAAGAGGGCAGGGAGCTGCAGAAGCCCTGCTTCTCAGCCATGGGGGCGGCGGAGGGCAGCGAGCTGGCCCAGAGCTCTGTCCTCCCCAGACCAGGGCTCTCTGAAGCGTCCAGAGAGAGCCATGCTCCCTTGAGTCACTGCCACATCTGCGTGGACTGTACTCAGTGCCTGGGGTGGAGAGACAGCTCAGGCAGGCATGGCCCATCCTCACAGAGCAAGCTCCAAACAGAAGCTGAACCTCTGCTGCTCATGTCTCCACCCCACCCCTGCATGCCCAGCAACCTAGGCCCCTTATGGTCACTCGGTCCAGTCTAAGATGTAGCAGCCTCAGGCCTGTTGTCATGGGCATCTCTCTGCACCCCAGAAGAGGATTTCTGTTCAGCTGGATGAGGGGCCACTGCTGGATTCCACCATCATGGTGCCAGAGGACCCAATCCCAGGGTCTGTGTCCCATGATCACACCCCAGTGCCACCCCCACCCCAATGCCCACCCCCAGCCCAGACCCCACCCAGACTGCCCCTGCTCTACTCTATGCTTGGCCCGGGCAGCGCAGTTACTTACACGGCAGAAAGGTATAGCTATGGGAGGGTGGGGCAGAAAGAGACACAGGTTAGATGCCCGCCTATGCCTGGGGAGATGGGCCCTCTTGGCCGGATGGGGCCGCATGCCTGCAACTACTGCTGCTAACTAGCACTGCCCCCACCCACGGTTGCCCCAGCGCCGCCCTGCCATCTGTCTCTGCCCTGCTCCCCACCAGAGGGTTCATACCCCCATCTTCTGTCTGCCTGGTGCCGCCACCACTGAGAGCCCAGCACTGCCATCCACTGGCCACCTGCCACCAGCCACCAAGCTTCCTGAGCAAGCAAGGGCTGGGGAGCCCGGGTGGGATTGGTGGCCACACCCCCATACCCTGCTTGGGGAGAGGCTAAAGGACAGGGTTCAAGAGTGGGCTGGGCCCTGGAGCAGAGGGTAATGGGGTCACCCTGCAGCAGCACCCATCCCTTGTCCAGATGGTCCACAGGGTCCCTGAAACCTCAGCTTGGCCTCTGACCCCTGCCCCACCTGCCTGACCCAGTGCCAGGCAGTGAGGGTGCAGGGGCTGCCACACTTACGAGTGCAGGCCATGGACACCACCCTCGATCTGGGCCGACATAGTCCGCTTCTCAAACTTGAGCTCTCCTGAGTACATCATGGACCTGGCAGGAGGGTGAGCAGGGCAGGTCAGGGCACCAAGGTGAGCAGAGAGCAAGGGAGGAAGGAGGGAGCCTCCCAGGTGCCCCACCTGCCGCCCACCCGCTGCCCTTCTAGTCACAGCACTCACCGCAGGACTGACAGGCTACGGGCCCCGATGTCCTGGCAGCCATGCTGGATGCCTGCTATGAGGTAGGGCACAAACTTCTGAATGGAGCCTTTGTCCTGGATGGAGCCTGAGACACCCTGCGCGATCTTCACCTTATCCCCCTCGCTGTGTGGAGGTTGGTGACTGAGTCCAGCAGCCGCAGGCTCAGGACCCCGCCCCACCTCCCAAGGTCACAAGCAGAGGGGATACCACCTAGAAGGGTCCTCAAGGCAGCCACTCGCTGGGCCACAGCATAAACAAGCACAGACTGAGGCAGGTGGCCCAGGCTGGTCCTTTGTCTGCTGCTAATGCCCTGTGCCTTGGTTTCCAGAACTACAAGATGGGAATAGGGTGCTGTCTGGGGAAGTTGGTGGCATGTGCGGAGGGTGGGGTCTGATCTGCCAAGGGCTGGGCCCCAGGGCAGGACACCTGAAGTATCGTTTCTGGCTGCTGCTGCTCTTCTCCATGGCATCCAATGAGCCCATGCCCCGGTACTTCTTGAGCCTCACTCCATCTGAGAAGAAGTATTCGCCGGGGGCCTCCGTGGTGGCGGCCAGCAGGGAGCCCATCATCACTGCGGTAGCCAAGGAGTCAGTGCCCCCAGTCCCACAGCCTTCCTGCTGCTCCCACCTGGCTCCCAGTCCCCCACCTGTCCCTCCCCTCACCTGTGGAGGCCCCAAGGGCCAGGGCCTTCACCACATGCCCCACGGTCTGGATGCCACCATCAGCAATGACTGGCACACCAAAGCGCCGGGCATACTCAGCCACCTTGTACACAGCAGTGCCCTGGGGCCGCCCGCAGGCCATCACTGGGGGAGGGTGGGGTACACAGACAGAGGGGAGTCAACAGCAACACAGGGGCAGGCACAGGGCCAGGGCAGGCACAGGGCCAGGGCAGCCCTTTCTCCTTGTGCCATACTCCACTCTGGGGAAAAGGGACAGGGTGCACGGCATGAGACAGGTGCCAGCAAATAACATTAGGGTGAAAGTCACTCCAGTGGCCTGGGCTACACCACCCCTAACAGCACTACAGAGCCCTTTCTCCTTGTGCCATACTCCACTCTGGGGAAAAGGGACAGGGTGCAGGGCATGAGACAGGTGCCAGCACATAACATTAGGGTGAAAGTCACTCCAGTGGCCTGGGCTACACCACCCCTAACAGCACTACAGGGGACTCAGATGGGGGGATCGGTACTGGTCTTCAGCGTACAGCACCCCCAGACAGGTGGTCCCCAGCCTCACCGGGGACTCAGATGGGGGGATCGGTACTGGTCTTCAGCGTACAGCACCCCCAGACAGGTGGTCCCCAGCCTCACCTGCTCTTGATATACAAGTTCCCCTTCCAGGCTTTCATTTGCAAAAACTGTCACTAGGGTTAGATACTTGTGGACTTCTTTGGGATGCTGGTTTGCATTTCTTTAAGTGGTAGGTTTTATGTGGGAATTTTAAGGAACCAGCACTTATCTAGGGATGGGTACAAGGCTGGATAAACTAGAGGTGAGGCCTTTCATTCGTTTTGTCCCCACTATACCCCAAGGCTTAGAACAGTGCCTGACACACAGTAGGTGCTCAATTAATATTTGTTAAATAAGTGAGAAAGGGTCCACGTTCCAGCGTGGTGACCACCTAAGGTGAAAGGTAGAAATTTAAAAAGCAGAGGCTCTGAAGACCAACAAAGGGAGATGTTTCAAGCAGGGAAGGCCAAGTGGGTGACACAGTGTTTTGGAAAACTGACCCTTACAAGAAGGGCCAGACACATCCCCTCAGGCCAAGCCAGGACCCGCCTCCTTCAGGCAGCCACCCCACAAGTCAGACACCAGCCTCCAGGGAGCACCCCCTCAGCCACATGGGGGACACATATCAAGGTCTCCCTTTCCCCCTCCACATTCAAAACCCACCCTGCAAAGACTTTGTGATTGACTGGAACCCACCCACCTGCTCTCACCACCTACTATCACCATGTGGGTACTTAATATCCTTATACATTCAAGGACATGCTATTTCCATGTCTTAGGCATTTACCTTGTCACAAACCTCATTCAAACCCTGAGCTGGCTTCCAGTGAAAAAGCAGTCATGCCAGCCTCAGGCCTCCAGTCTGGGCCCCCTTGCGCAGAATCTGAGAAGCAGGCTGTTGCACACCCAAAACTCACAGCACCTCCATCTGCTTACGCCTGCTGCCCTAGGTCAGTGCCTAGGTCTGCTCTGAGCCACCACCCCAGGAAGGGTCTGGCAGAGCGAGCCCTCACCACGCATCGGTGGGACAAGAGCGAGGCCAGAGCCTGTGGTCAGCCAGCAGGGGTCCTAATGAATACTCACCCACTCTCCCCTCCACACCTACCTTCTTGGGTGATGCAGATGGAGCCACAGCCCATGCCCACGCGTAGCCCGTCCACACCAGCATCAATCAGGTTCTTGGCCTGGGCTGCTGTCACCACTGGGGGCAGGGGCATGCAGAGGAGCGATGTGAGGATGGGATGTCCCCTCCCTGCCTATAGGCTTCCTAGGACCCCTGTAGAGCAGCCCCCCTCACAGAGACCAAAGCCCCCTGCCCCTCATGCCAGGAGCGATGCCATCACTGGGGATGCCAAAGGACAGAGAAGGGCTACACAGTGAGGGGCAAGAGCAGGGGGTGATGGGGAGCCCACACTCACCATTCCCCCCAATCACCTGGAGGTGGGGGTACTTCTGCTTCATGTAGTGCACCATGGCGATCTGATACACTGAGTTCCCTTGGGACGAGTCCTATGGGAAGGGGGACAGAAAGGCTTAGGCTTAGACAGCTGAGGATCCTCACAGGGGGAGAGAGATCTTGTGGGGGGATGAACCCCTGAAATCATATAGAAAATGTTAGGAGAATGCTCTTTTGTTTTTCTGGAAAATCACTTGACAACTCTCAGCTGATTCTCAAAGGGTTCTGCTTTCCCCCCAAAAGTTAAACACCACTAATGCACAGTCTTGGCGTAGACAAAGCCCTTTCATGCCCATTGATCCTCACAGCAAGGAGATATTGCCTGGGGTCGTTTCCTCTTCCCACCAACTCACTCAGCAAATGAAATTACTTGGCCTCTTTGAGCTTCAGTTTCTTCATCTGACAACTGAGCACGGCAACTGTACCTCGGGGGGCTGTTGTGAAGATTAAATGAGCTCATGTACAGAAAGGTCTTAGTTCAGGGCCTGACAAGTGGGAGGTTCTCAGTGAACGTGAGCTATAATTATTGGAGTCAATGTATGAGCAAGGAAGGCCCTCAGAGGTGCCCACGGTATGTTCTGGGCTCTCGAGAGAGTGTAGCGACCCTCCTAACTCTGACACCACGGAGCATTCAGAAGCAGAGAGGAAGAGCAGGAGGGAGGGTCACAGGCATAACGAGGGGCAACCTCAGGCCTCACAAGCCTCTACTCTGCTGAAGCTCCCACCATCCTTGCCACCACCCAGACGGTGCCCTTACCAGGACTATGACATCAGCGCCTGCCTGGGTGAGCAGGTCCAGGCGGTATTTGTCATCCTCGCGGGTGCCCACGGCTGCCCCGCACAGCAGCTGCTTGTGGGAATCCTTGGATGCCAGAGGGTAGTCTCGGTTCTTCTTCAGGTCGGTACGGGCAATGATGGCCACTAGCTCATCGCGGTCATTGACAATAGGCAGCTTCCCTGATGGAGGATGCAGAGGTGAGATGAAGACATAGGCTTTGGGATGGGGGTGCAGCGGTGTTTACTGGAAGACTGAAGATGGAAATGGACTGTGCCAGAGATTCCACCAAAGTACCCAAACCAGCCACTAGATGACAGCACCGACCCAGGAAGTGCCTAGGGACCTGGACCTCTTCCCAAGGAACAGGAAGGAAAGAAACCTCCCAGCCAAGTAGGTTCCTGGGGCTCTTCCTGCCCTGCAGCCAGGCCAGGCTGGGATGGGCAGCCTCTAAGCACTGGTAGCCTTTCACTGGCTGGGCCACAGACCACAGTGACTGAAACCTCCTAGCCAGGGCACAAAGGTGAGGCTGCACTGTAGGAGGTACATGTGCCCTGCCTGGTACCAACCCCGAAGAACTCTCCAGTATGGACGAAGGGAGCATTTCCCCGTGTAGCCCATAGGAACCTAATGAATATTATGTAACCAGCTCCAATGTCAAATATACTTAACTGCAGGACTTCTCAGAGCCTTTATAAGACTACTTTTCAATTCTTTACATAAGATGAAGGATATAGAAAGCAGCATTTCTCAGATTCATAAGACTATAGAGCCCTTTTTCATGATGAACTAATTTTAGGAAACATACTGTGAAGATGCTGAACTAGGGACAGGTTTCCCTAAGCCAGGAAAAAATGTCAGGAATTGTGCTCCAGCCTGCCTGGGTTATTCAAACCTTCCCAAAGGCCCAGTGTGGTTGCGGGGACAACCTGCAAGGCTGTGAAGGAATGGGGACCCAGGGTACAGGGAGTCAGGCTGGGGTCAAGTTTTCTGTTTGCTCCTGGTACCTTTCTTGCTGCGCTGCAGGATCTCATTTGCCTCTTTCAACGTGACGCCTGATGGAGCCACCACTAGCTCAATCCGTGGCGTCATCACCTGTGGGGCCAGGAACATTTGCCTGCAGGTTGGCAGGTGAGAGAGAAGGAGCCAGGCCTCCCTCTGGTCCCTGGTCACAGGCACCAGCCTAAGGCCCCAGAAGATGGGGTCCTCTGCACCCCAGACCCGCATTCCCTGCCCTGCAGGCACCTCACTGAGGAGGGTAGTGTGGTCCTTCTCAGCGAGGAAGTCGATGTCTCGGGAGGTGACGATGCCCACCAGCTTGCTGCCCATGGTGCCTGTTTCAGTGATCGGGATGCCGGAGAAGCCATGCCGAAGCTTGGCCTCCAACACGTCACCCACAGTGTGTGCGGGACTCAGCACTACGGGGTCTGTGATGAAGCCCTGTTCAAACTTCTGTGGGCAGAGAGGGAAGAGGCTGTAAGAAAGACAGGGATGGTGGCCAGCCTGGCCACAGGGGCAGAGGGGGCCCTGGCTATGCCTCAGAGAAGCCAGGACCCTCATGGGGTGAGGGACTACTGTGAGGAAGGGCAGCCAGGACTCCCCAGAGATCAGCCAGGGAACACGGCAGCCTGCAGGGCTGGCACAGGAGGTGGAAGGTTCTGTGAAGTGGGGGCTGCCAGGTGACATCTTTCTGGGGACAGGACTGGTACTTGCCTTGACCTTCCGCACCTCGTTGGCCTGGAACTCTGGGGTGCAATTGTGGTGAATGAAACCAATACCTCCCATCAGCTGGGGTGAAAGGGAAATGTGGTCAGAGCCAGGGCCCAACCCTCCTCAGCCCTGCCCCTCAGCACACAGCCCACCCTCTTCAGTCCCGTCTTTGCTGTGGTCCCCACTCGGGTGCACGACTTACAGCCATCGCGATGGCCATGTCAGCTTCTGTCACGGTGTCCATGGGAGAGGAGATCAATGGCGTCTTCAGTGTGATCTTCCGAGTCAGGGCTGAAGTGAGGTCCTTAGGGTGGAGGCACAGTCTAGATGAAGAGTTCTATCATTCACCGGACAAACATGCAGCAAGCTCCTACACAATCCGGCACCAGGACCGGCCTGGGATCTGACAGTGAATGAGGCGGATGAAGTCCCTGCTAGCTTAGCGGAGCTCACATTCTATTTTTTTTTTTTTTATAAGATGACCGGTAAGGGGATCTTAACCCTTGACTTGGTGTTGTCAGCACCACGCTCACCCGATGAGCTAACCGGCCATCCCTATATGGGATCCGAACCCGGGGCCTTGGTGCTATCAGCACCACACTCTCCCGAGTGAGCCACGGGCCGGTCCTCACATTCTATTTTGAAAAAAAAATGTCAGACTCGAGACCCAGGGACAAGATGATTTCAGTCAGGAAGAAGGCTACAAGGAAAAATAATGAGGCCAAGTGACCACTGGAAGCACACGGTGGTCGGGGAAAGCCGCTTTCTCGAAAGGTGACAAGTGGGAGCCAAGCAAGTAAAAGTCTGGGGCACTGTCATTCCAGACTGAAGGAGCTGTGCATGTAAACCCTGCCTCTGATCCTAACTCTTCCCAAGGTGCATTTAAGGGTAAAAAAGAAGGCTAGGGAGCTAAAGGGGAGAGGCAGGAGGCAGACAGGGGGTGGGGAGGAAGCATGTATAGCCTTGAAGACCACCGAGAGGAGCTCAGCGTCTACTCTGAGAGGAGAAGCCATGGAGGGTCTTAGGCAGAGGAGAGACACAATCTCATTTATGGTTTAAAGAGGTCATTGCAGCTCCAATGTGGAGAATGGATTCCAGGTGAGAAGGGCTGAGGCAGAAGGAGGCACGGGAAGTATCTATCAGCCATCCAGGTTAGTAGGTGAGTAAAGGTCTGGAGCTCAAGAGAGACGTCAGGATTGCAAACATACACTCAGGAGTCGCCTGCCTATGAGTGGTATGTAAGGCTCAATCACAGACCCATTCAGGTCACAGCTGTGGATCCTAGCCCCCAAAACACTCAGACATAGACTCTGATACATAATTTTTGAGATTCACAAGCCCCTGAAGTCCACCCACAGCCCCTGTTTCAAAATCCTAGCCCTGTGGTCTAGGAAACGCCATCTTCTCCTCTCCCATCGTGCCACAGGAGAAGAGCTATAACCTTCCTGACGGATGCCACAGGACAGGGAAACCCTCAATGACCAGGCAGGGGTCTTTCCCATCCCTCTCTTCCTAGCAGCCAGCCCAGGGTCTGGCACAAACCTGGGTGCTCAGTAAACTTTGTTAAACTGAACAGCTGAACCAAAAAGCCTGCCTTGGTTGCTGATATAAGGAAAATATCCAGAATAGCCCAAATTTTTCCCTAAAAATCTGTCTGGGTCTGTTCTGGCTACACACAGGCTGGACACGAGCTTCCGCAACACATAAGTGATCTAGGCACACTCAGGCCCTCTGGTCTTTCATGAGAATCAGACCAGAATAAATAGCAATAATAACAGCAACAGAAAACAAACGATTTTTGTTTTAAATATGTATGAATTCATCATAGAATCATGGAAGTTTCTCTTGAAATGACTTATACCATCATTACTACCCCCTTGACTTCTTTGAGTTCATCATAAATAAATTGTTCATTGATTTGGCTCCTTGTTGAATCCCTACTGGAGAACAAGGTACTGTGTTTCCCAGTATTTGTCCAAAATCTAACTCCTTCAAAGCCTCCTGCCAGTTCTTAACACACTGTGATCAGTGAACAAGTCTGTCCACCAGATTCAAAGTCTCCATAATTTTACTGGCTTCTATCACATCCTGGCTCAGCATCTCAGGACAAATCCAATCCTTACCATCTATATAAAAAGGCAGCCACACCCAAGCCCACCCCTCCCAGGGCCTTTTCTGAACCTCCACACAGGCTCTGGCAGTGACAGAAGCCCGCTGGCTGTGTGCCGGGCCCCCACTCAGGATACCCCTCAGTCCCACGGTGGCTCCCTCTGCCCCACCAGGCATAACACTTTGCGTGGCACTAGTTTCTCTAGCAACAATAAAGCCACCGCATTCCCAAGTCTCCCTACACCCTGCCCTTGAGCAAGAAGTCAGCCTCTTCCACCTCATATGTAACCCCCTCCCCCTTGTCAAAGGACGAGGTACTCACCACCTCATCAGCTATGAAGTCAATGAATCCTGGGAGGATCAGGAAGTCACTGTGAAGACAGAACAGTGAGTGTGACTGGTGGGGAGGGGTGCCTGAAAGGGGCACGGCTTGCCATGCCAGGGGAAGCAGCAGAGGGGTGGGGGAAAGGCCAGAGGGGCAGAGGCTGGAGCCCTCTGATCCTTGCTGCCCCATCAAGGCTGGCCCCCCCGCAGCCCCCATTACTGTCTTGCCGACTCTAGCCCACAAAGCTAAAGCCAAAGATAGCAGAAGGTCTGTGGACCTGAGGCACCACCAAGGCAGTTGGCTGAAAATATCCATTGCCTTCAGGACTCAGAGTTTGTCAAGGGACACAGAAGTTCCCATGTCACCACACACAGCAGATACTGTGCCTGCCCTTGAAAACTTCTCAATCTTGATAGGGGGAGACAGTAAGTAAATACAGGAGTGAGCCTCAGAACAAGTTTGTAATGCAACATAGCACAAACACGACCCATTTGATAGGGGGAGACAGTAAATACAGGAGTGAGCCTCAGAACAAGTTTGTAATGCAACATAGCACAAACACGACCCAGCGCAGGACAGGTTGCACATCCCAGTGTCTGGGCTGCTGAGTCACATAAGGTTCAGAACAGCATGGGGGGACCCCAGGGAGCTAAGCACAAAGCATGTTCTGACAGAGCAGGCACTCAGGACTGGAGCAACCACCAAACATGGCCAGGATGGGAAAAGGGAGGAAGCAGGCCTCCTAGTTAGGACTATGACATGGGACCCCAGACAAAGCGTGGCAGCTGCCAACACTGGGGTGACCATGGTCACAGCAAACCCCAGGAGAGTCCAGGCCTGCAAGGGTATGTCTAGGTGCAGGGCCATAGCCCAGGGGCCCTGAAATCACAGCAGGCCTTTACAAACACATCCAAAAGCAAACGCCCCACACTCTGGGAACACTATGAACCCAGCTAAGCAAAGCAGCAGGCACCCTTGGTGCAGGAAGGAAAAGCCACAGGGTGGATGAGAGTAGGGTCATTAGTCTGCCCCAAGGCCTAGAGTAACTCCTAGAAGTTGCCTTAAGGAGTTTCCCTAGGAGACTTCAGTAAGAAATATATCAAAGATATACTTTCCCATCACCAAAGATCACCAAAGGAACAGAATTTAAGCTGCCCCCACCCCTTGGCAGCAGTACTTCTGTACAGCAAGGAGGCCCCTGTGAGTCCAGAGAACAAATGCTGGAGGCTGGGCCTCTTGGCATTTCCCAGATATTACATTCACCCCTTAGCTGTGGGCAGGCAAGAGGAGGCACTCCTCAGGAGTGACTGGGTATCCTTGTGTTTAGGGAAACTGCTGGCCAAGCAGGCATGCTTACACGCCAAACAGGGGTGGTAGGAGACAGGGCAGGGATGCTCTTGACTGGTCAGCATCCCTACTCTGCTCCAGTCCCGGGTTCTGATGCTCCTTCCTGGCAGGGATACAGTCCCGCAGCCCAGAGCAGAGCTAGTGCCAGGCTAGGACTGGCCGAGGGCCCACAGAAAAGGCAGACTAAGCCAGAGGCAGACGAATAGGTCTCCGTTCTCCTCCAAAATCACATGTGGGGTGGGCTTGGGGGTGGAAGTCACAGAAAACTCATATCCCCGGGGGTCAACAGTACCGACCTGTGGACGGGCAGGGGGCAAAAGTGGAAGGAGGAGAGAACTGGACGGTGGAAACAAGGAGACATCCCAGCTGCCCAGGTGGGCCTCCTTTGGGGGCACACGCAAGCAGCTGCCTCGGCTGGCCTCCAGGGTCCCTCTGCCCTCGTGGTGAGGCTGGGAGGAGAGGGATGCTGGACCAAGGTCTGTTTAAAGTGTCCCCGTCTCATGTTCCCACACGCCCCAGTCCCCTGCACGCAGCCTAAGATACTCAAGAGGAGGAAGGGGACAGGCCCGACCCGGATCTGGCCAGAACCCAGACAAGGCACCGAGGCCGCAATATCGCTGTGCCACGTCCATCTGCTCCAGGCGCGGGCCTCCTTCCTTCCCTTGCCCAGCCCTCCCCACCCCCCGCGCCCCAGTCACTTGCTTTGGGCCAGGGAACGTGGGCGTCAGAGAGGGGGGAGCCGTGCACGTGCAGGGCCGGGGGGGTCGCGGCGCGCTCATGCG